CATGCAGCTTGCAATATCCAGTTAATACTGTCCCTTTTTACACAAGGCAACTAATTCCTAGTGCTGTTGTTGCATAGCACCTGCAATAGGCGGCATGGTGCTTTATCAGCAGGCCAAAGACAACTTCACAAAATTTGTATTAAACCATAACAGGAATTTTTGAACCACAGTCTTTATAATCATGCACCACTACACTAGCCACAAAAATGCGTTCGTGCATTTTAATCTGTAGACTGAGGACAACGCAGGAGAATATTCTCCCACCAGGTTTCACAATGAAATTTGTGGTATGAAAACTGCAGTCCCCAAACCGCATTTAGGAAACACCTTACCGGGCCTAATTCTGATCTCACATTTACAAACTCCAGGAACTTGCTGCTGAGGCACCGCCAGTCCCGCGCTCCCAAGGGAAAGCTGCCTGAAGCAAGCGCCAGCGCCCCTGCGAGTCAGGCCGGGCGCCCGCCCGCTCCAGGGCGGCTGTCCTGGACACCTCCTTCGGCACGGCGGCTCACCGGCTGCTCTGCAGAAACAACACCTGCCACGCTCAGACGTAATGCTGCCAAACGTTGCCATGTAGTGGTATGGCAGTTCACAGGGTACTGTTTGCAGCAACAGGGAGTGAAATAGAAAAACTTCCTTCCCATTAGCAAAGACGCGCTGAAGATTCGGCCTCTTCACTGACGGGCAGCCTGACCTCATACAGAGTGAGACAAGATCCACGCAGACACCGAGAAGATTTCACTCTGTTCAATTTTAAGACCTGTTGTAGGGACTAGACATGTTTCTAAACAAGTTTATTTATGGTTTATGAATGTATTACAAAAAAAAAAAGAGTGAAGTAACAATGGCTAAGATATTATAGAATTCATTTCAGGATTACATAAGGGAATGATTTTGGTTAAGTGCAAATGACTATAAAAATAGCAAAGTGCAAAAGGTATTTAACATTAAACAGTGAATTTCTCATAGGGTGTTCTGGAAAGGAGAATTAAGGAAACAGCAAAAAAAAGTTAGGTGCTAGAGGAAAAAGTGAATTAACTAGCTTTCCCTTTCACTTCGTATTCTATGCATTAAGTTTTAGGTTTTTAATAAAAGTGAATTAAAAAAAAGATAGTAACCCCTCCAAATTAGACACACAAATTAGGAAAGGCTAGACGTGGTGACTTCACTTAAGCATGCTCAAGTTTGAAAAATTCTACACCTTAAGAACTTGTGCTTTAAATGAAGATTAGCGGGAAAGTTAGTAAACTCTCTCAAGAACCTTAAGACTCCCTGAAACAACAAAGAAGCGTCTGAGTATCTCTCTGTTTTTAAATTTGAGCAGGATGATTCTATGATTCTACATTGAGGGAAAAGGTGACTAAGCTTGCTTTCTTTTTTTTTTTTTTTTTTTTTTTGGCAGGCAGACATGGTAACCTCAGCTTACTAAAATGCACATTTAACCCTCAGCAAAAAAAAACCAAAAGGAAAAAGAAAATCAATGCAGAAACATTGAGCTAAGTAGAAAACAAGGGAAAATAGATCAGAACTTTTCAATGCTGTAAGACATATAAGAAAAAATCTAAAGTATTAATTAGGGATGGAGCTGTGTCCTGTAAAGAGACATCATAAAATCTGAATATAATTTAGTTGAGAACAATATCGTTCTTACAGATAGGTTAGTTCCAAACGGATCTCCTTCAAATTCCAAGACTGTTCAATAATTTTCAGAGACTATTAGAGAAAGTAAATAATCATAATTTTAAAATCCACCACTGCACAAGACTGACCAAGATGACAGGAATAAGAAAACAGAATTTACAGCTAAAAAAAATTACTTATGGTAGTTATTCTTATATACAAAGCAAGGTCAGAATAAAAACAAAAACAAAAAGCTAAGAAACAGACTCTAACCTATGGCATATCACAGGGGAGAAGCAGAAAAACATGGGCTTTTTTTGTTAAGATCTTCTGCACACGTCCTGTCTAATTTAATTACTCCATGGTTTAAGTGAAAACATGTAGCTTCTATATAACAACGGCAGTCACAAGCCGTTGCTACAGAACAAAAGAAAGTCACGAGATAAGAACTGATCGAAGCCAGCTGAAGATTCCTTTTCTGTCTCAGTGGTGGATTCTCTATACAGAAGAAAAGGATTGAAGCATATTATTTCCTAATTTGGAAGTAAATAAAAAAAGGAGTTAGGAGGAGGACCCATTCTCCTAACTTTCCTAGAAAAACTGCAATGTAAAATATGCCACACAACCATTAAAGTCCAAAGACTGGATTAATTTTTCTTAAAGTTAAGACTAGATTCTCCTCTCATACCAACTTTGCACTGATATAATACTGACTTTAGCAGAGACTCTTCTGACTTGCACTGATATGAGGGAGAAGCTGGTATAATATGCCTATAGGTTGAGCCTAACAAAAATTCGATTAAATTGTTACTTCAATACACTAATGCGCACAAATCATATCTCAGTTTGGAAGCATTATCTTCCGAGAACAGGCAAGGGCCCTAAAGAAATAAACAATCAGGCAGTAGCAGCAACACAGTATCTACAACCAGGACTGTGGGTCAAGCATTTAAGTACAGCTTCCTAAACTTCGATTTATTACCACGTTAACCACTAAACCCATTTGTAAACGTCCCCTAGCTGCAATCCAAAAGTATGTCACCAAAAAGGCTGCTCAGTGGCTTTATGCCAAAAAATACATTTTTAAATTTCACAGCAAGATTTTAGTCTAGCATAGTTTCTGACTCAGAGGAGACGATGCATAGACATCAGGCTCCACCACTGTACAATCTAGTTTAGAGGAAAAAAACTCTAAAACCAGTTATCAGATACAGCTCAAGGACACAGACACTTTCAAAGGATAAGATAGCTAAAAAGTGCATAGAACGGAATTTAAAATGGAAGGAAAGAGGTTAAAATTTCCTAGAGAGCACTCTGATCACTGTGAAGTTCACAGAATACCTCCGTTTTAGACAATGAACTAATATATTTTTAAAGACATATAAGATAAACTCATGGTCTCTTTTGGTCACTTTGCATTTCATATGGCAACTGATCAAGTTTTCACTAATGATTCTTAACGTATCAAGACTACTGCAAACACCACATGCTTTATTAGTGAGGAGGTTTCTTTAAACCACACAGCAAACACCTTTCTTCCCCTCCACTGCAATTAAGTACCTGTTTCAGGAGTCCTTTGGAGCCAGCAGAACTATGACTGCAGTGACTCTTAACTAACAGGCACTGCAACAGATTTAGCCAGCCGGGCAGACTAGTCGGGTATTCAGAGGCACCTGTTCATACGCATGCTTTGATAACATTAACGACAAAAGAGATCAAATCTGCATTCAGTCTAGCAGTACTTTGGAAGAAATTGATTTTGTTGAATTCTTTTTTCAAAACTGCAAATATTTTTGTTTTAAAACAATTTAGTTATTTCTCTGTTGCTTTAAACAACTGTGTTTTATGATTTATGACATCAGTATGGGTAAGCAACAATGTACTTTGTGCAACTGCACTATAAGTAGTAAACGAACAAATTGCTCCCATCTGTTTATGAAAAGTTTAACAGGCTAATTGTTCACGTCTACTTCAGAACATCAAGCAACCCAGTAAGACAGCTCCATAACATCAGCAGTCTTTACTCTTTTATATGTTTTCCTTGCTACTAATTGTTCTAAAGTACTGTTTTTAATGCATATTTTAATTTTAACTACTCAGGTTATTCAAAAATATTTAATGCATTTTTCTCAGAATAAAAATTAAAAGGATCTGATAAGCGCTGGGCATTTTGGAAAGACTGACCACTTCATTCAGGTACCTTCCTGAGTACTAAAGTTCTGAAAAGTTAATCTCACCTGCACAGTTCAAATACTTTTGAAGTAACAGCCCTAAAATCAGCATATTATTTAAAATTACACTTATTCTTCTGTAATTTATTTCAGACACCTTATTCTGCAAAGCCAGTAAGAGTTGATTTCAATGGATTGGACATTTTCTCTTCCCACTTGAAAAAAAAAAACCAAACAAACAAAACCTTGATTGTTTCCTTTTTAACATAAGGGGGTTTTTTTAGTTATATTCTAAAAGAACAAACGCTGCATCTTATGTTTGCAAATTTTTTGATACTGAAGTGATCAAAATCACACTTTGGATTCATATAAACATGTGAGCGTCATGACAACAGTTCTAATGATTACCCCTCAAAAGGCTTAGAAAGCATGCGTCTGTTGAAATGCTTGGGTATAAGTTTATGCAGTTGAAGTACATAAGAACTAAATCTATACAATCACTTTGATTACATCTTGAAAAGCATACAGAAAACACTCTACCAGCAATCCAGCAAAAGTATTCTCGACCATTTGGCTAACAGACCATAAAGTGAGGCAAAGACTTGCATTACTTAACACAAACAAAAATGACTAAAAGTTATGCAAGCACATAAGTTTCATTAGAGCCCGGTTATGGGGCTATCAACATCCGTAAAGGGCCATAACATCCCAGAATTTGTGTAGCAGGATGAAACACGGAATTCTGATACTACTGATTGTCCCACTCATTAAAGGTTTATCCCATTCTTCCATGTAAAATTCAAGAGGTTCCATGTCAAAGACTGATCTTAAATACCACAATTAGCTAATAAGCTTACTTCCACAGAGCTGTGCGTGCTAGATCAGATTTTTGCAAATCTTCCTTCCTCCAAAATTTACTACTCTGGAGACATCTCTGGGTTTAATTTCCATGGACTGCCTGGATTTAGAGACATTTTAAAAACCATGATTATTATGAAATGTATCATTTTGGTTATTAATCACATGACAGAACATTAAGGAATTTTGAAAAAATATGCCACTTTGTATACCTTGCACTATTGTGGAAATACGATCAGGGATGTTAACGCTTTTCATCAATCTGGTGCTATTACAGAAACCCATACGACACTTCTGAATAGGCTGTATTGGCTTTGTGCCAGCACATCAGCACTTTAAATTTACTTTTTTTTTTTTTTTTTTCCCCCCCAACTAGTTTGTCAGGTCCATAATCTACGACAGACAATAACAAATGGTGATCCAATCCACCATGGAAGTACTCTTAAAATGTTAAGTGCCAAGAACCAGGACGGTAGAAAGCAAATTAATCTGAAGTCATAGGCATTGCTCCAGCATAAGGGGCCTTGAGCACCAGCTCTGCCAGTCCTGAGCGCTACAGCCACTATTCCTGCACAGGTCTAGATCTTGTGGGCTTTCCCCAAGCACTCTGAAACAATCGGCTGGACTGATCTGTAACACAGCTGTGACGAGAAATGAATCTTTCTTCCTAGGTTCATTTTACCAAAAGATTGTGTGCTGGGGAAAGGAGACGAAAGGGGAGAGTGAGAAATTAGTTTTTTGGCCTGGCTTTTTTAAACTGTTTTCCAGGAATTAATTTTATTAAAGCTTTGTACTAAAACATCAAAAGGTACTAAAGAAATATTATCAGTGACAGACTGGCAAAATGTTATTTAAAAAAACATACTTTTAGTTTTTGTAGACTTTCTCGCATTCCATCCCTATGTATGTATCAGAAAAGTACTACATGTGTTATTTTTCCTATTAACTGGTTAAAAGAAAAACCGGTCCTTAACTGATATGTTCAGCTCAGATGAACAAAACAAAATAACTGCAAATCCTAACTATAACATCTTATACAGAAATCAGGACGATAAGAATAAAAGCTAATAAAAAAAACAAACTAGATGCTTTTGTTCACAGTATATATGCTTAGTGGAATTTTCATCTTATTTATTTGCTTAGGTAATGATAAATATAGTATTTAAAAATGCATTTTACTGACAGACACTTTTTCAGATTTCCATGTAAAAATACATAAAAAGCTCGATTAAATTTGGTCTTTTACCTGGCTCGAGGATAAAATGTGTGATTTCTTTTGTAAACAGGCTTGAAACAGTTCAGACTATTTGCAATATATTTGGGGGTTGACTAGGATAAAAAGCACAAGAATAGCAAAAGCTATTTGGAGACTGTAGTGGTGTTTCAAGCTCCTTTCTGCTCTATGCCTAGTGTCTATTTTTCTTTAGAAAACCAAGGCGAGTCAGTGACTTGCTGTATAAAACCAACTACAAGTCAAAAGCTTTCCCTTTCAGTGGTCAGCTATGACGCTTGATGTCAGTGCTCTGGTTTGGGCACGTAAATACTGAACCACATTACGTGAGGTAGACCAGAAATAAAAACAACAACACATGTTAAAAGATGAACAGAAGAATTCATTCCTTCCTCTTCTTCCAAAGAGATTTATTAGGCTTTGGAATCTTCCTGCACACAGAGCTGTGAAATGGTCTTCTTAATACGAAGTGCAGTCAACCGAGCTGCTCCATTAGCATACCAGCATTCACGCATTATCCTGCCCATTACTCGGAGTGCCTTCAAATGATTAAAAAAAAACAGGTCAACCATCACCTGCTGCCTTTTTTTTTTTTTTTTTTTTTTTAAGTGCAATACTGGAAGATAAAATACAGCTCTCTGAAACAACAGTCCAACAGTAATGTCAAAATTAAGACTTGTATTCCAGACAAAGAAAGAACTTCAGCACTTGGTGCCAAGACAGTTTTGTATGTATTAATCTTGGGAGTTGAAAAAAGCTAGGTATCTGAAACATATTTAAATTCATTGGAGGCTGGACAACAAGTTCCTTTTGTCTCACTGGAAAAATCCTGTCTTTATTTGAATAGGCTTTATTATAAACCAGAAAACTGCTTTTACCTCACAACTTTGCCACTGGTTTGGAATATTTGGTCTCAGCTTCTGCTCACAAACTACCCTTCTCATATCTTCTATCGAAGGATCAGAAGGCACAACGTCATAATAAGGCATCTGGTATTCCTCAGTGATTCCTACGAAAGATTTGTTGTACAGGTAACAGACCAAATGCAAAGTAGCTGCTCCAGAATAAACTCTAACCATTCCTATAGGCAATAAAAAGGAAGAGAGGGACATTTGGGGCTACCCTGATTTTTGTGGCCTGAAATAGGAGCACAAGAAAGCACAGACTACAGACCCCATTCTGATCCACATGGTTATTCCAGATCCTGTATGCACATACCTCTACAGATAGTTTGGTACCAATAGCTACTCAATGGAGAACAAGTCTCAGCAATAGATTTCTACCTCCACGTACTGTCAAAATAACTGAGAAGGTGAGGGGAGGTACCTTTAATTGTTTTTGTTTTATTTAACATAAAAGTAGTCCGGATTGCAAAATAAAGAGGGCAGAAATCTCACCTCCAATTGAACATCTTCTTGCTATCTCCCAGTATACTAGACCAAGAGAGTATATGTCTGCTCGTTTGAACGACTCAAAGATGTTCATGTTCATCACATCATCCAGTATCTCAGGAGCCATATACCTTTAAAATATATAAAGATCAATTTGCTAGAGAAAGTGCCTATGAAAGTTTACAACTGTGCTGCTGTGTGAGGGGGCCAGGTATCAGACAGTCCTACATTAAAACAAACAAGAAAAAAATACTCCTTTTTACAATACTTCTGAGCGAAAACAAGAAAGTTGGCTTCAGCGATAAATTTAACACTGATAAATTCTGGGAAAATGATTCACACCATGCAGTGTAAGTGCATGTTACAAATTCAGCCACCATAAACTCCATCTACCGCCAGAGATAGGCTACTACAAAGAACTAACCCTGTCCTTTATTAAAGATACTAATCTTCAACTTTATTCTGCTGCTGCTTTTTCAGCCTCAACTACTAACAACTACCCCGATGGAAGCAAGCAGACTGGAAGCGCAATACTGTGGCTTCCACGTTCCCATGTATCATCTTGATTCATCAAAACCCTAAGAGTGCTATTCTAACTACATCCAAAAGCACATATTTTGACCAACACCATATCTAAGCAGCAGAACCATGTTCCAATTTGGATGACATACTCTAATCCTAATTGCAGAGGTAACAGTCGCCTTGTGTACTTAACAAGCAAAATGAGTTGTCCTGATTAGCACAGACAGATTCATACCTCTGCATGGTACTGCCACTGCTGATGAGAAGAAATTCTAGGGATAATCAATTGTATTAGGGTAAGGCCAAAATCATCCTCTCCTAACGTGGTTTAGCAAAGAGATATAGGATTAACAAGTCAAATTCCTTTAGGAAATCACAGAATAGTTGAGAATGGAAGAGACCTCTGGAGACCGTCAAGACCAACACCCCTGCTCAGAGCACCCTGCTGTCTCTCCAGCGCAGTCACAGCTCCCTCAGCCTCTCCTCCTATGATAGATGCTTCGATCCCTTAATTTCATCTTCGTGGCCCTTTGCTGGACTTACTCCAGTATGTCCATGTCTTTCTTGTACTGGGGAGCCCAGAAATGGACACAGAGCTCCAGATGTCGTCTGACAAGCACTGAGGCGAAGGGAAGGATCACCTCCCCTGACCTGTTAGCAGCGCTCTTCCTAACGCAGTTCAGGATGCTGCTGGCCTCCTTTGCCGCAAGGGCACCATTTGCTGGCTCATGTTCAAATCCAGGAAAGGAACAGGGATTTCATCCCTTTTTGTTTCAATTCTGGGTTGTTTTCTTAAACAAGCTAGGAACTAGAACTAGAAAAGTCAGCTGTATGACAGAAACACTTGGAATAGGTTGACAGGCATTAACGTAATGCTCTTATGGTGGCCAAGTAACAAACGGTAAGAAAAAAAATAGTAGCTGACTAACATTGGTATTTACTGTAACAGCTAGATATTTAAAGTTATGGACACAGCAGTAAGCCATAAGCACCTGATTACCTGTTATCTAATACCAGAGTTAGAAGCAGGATTGTTGGCCATAATTTGGTTGCATAAACTTTAAATCCAGGAGGGAACATGTATGATCCCCCAACGTGGGGTTTTGTGCTATCTACAGCCAGCACAGCTACCCTAGCTTGAGGATTTAGATCTGTTGCTAATATTCTAGGCAGATGTCAAAAGCAGAGAGGGAAGGGAAGTTACAGAAGCAAGAAACAAGCAGAGACCTTTGCAGAAAAGTATTTCCACAAAAGTTTACTAAAGAATAATATACTCGAGTGCTTTTACCTCTTTGTTCCCACTCTAGGATTCTGAGGTATGTCAATTGTATTTAATACAGAATCATGTTTCACAGCCAGTCCCAAGTCTGCAATAGCACAGGTTTCATTTCTCTTCACTAAGATGTTTTTAGATTTCAGATCTCTGTGTGCAATAGCTGGTTTGCCTGTTAACAAGAAAAAAAAAAATGCCACCAACTTTGATGATAAGCATTAGAATTTTAATATAATGGGTAAGTAAACAAACAATTAGATCCAACTTTGTTACTAAACCCTATAAAAATATTAAAGCCAATTTTGTACTAAGTAAAGCTCTACTAAATGCCATCAAGTTCAAAAAGATTAGAAGATATTTTTGTTCAAATGTCTGTATTTCAGGAATAAAACACAAAAAGAGAAACTGTAAATTCACACCCCAAATTCATTTTAAAAAAATCACTCATCAGAAGACCCCTTTAACAAAGCTGCTCCAGCAGACATTTACTTAAACAGGTCAAAGAAGAGACAGATAATTTTTTTTTTATTTTTTTTTTAAGTACTTGGTAAAATTAGCTGTAGCACTCTACTCCACAAATTCAGTAGTTATCTGTATAAACTGGCCAATTCATTATCACTTCAGTAACAATGGAGAGTTTTGTTTAGCTGGACACAGATCAGCCCAATAATCCTCGTATCACTAGCTAGCAAAGGAGGGCTGGATTGTTAGGTTATCCCAAATTATTTCACTCGTGGTGCAGCAGAAATAGTCCTGAAACTCATAAAATCTGGATTTTCCAAGATGAGAGGACCGTAAACTCAGTTGGAAACATTACGTTCCTACTCTCTACTTACATGGTACCACATACGCTTATGTTAATACTGTTTCACGCACTATAACACCGTTTGTAAAACACTATGGTGCAAAATCAATAAATATTTTTGTAAATACCGTTTATTAAGACGTTCCTTAAAATATTTTGAGAACAAGTGAAAGGAAAACCAACTACCTTGTGTGCCAACTATCTCCATATGAAGATGTGCTAAGCCACTGGCTATTGAAAGTGCCAGTTTAATCATACCATCAACTGTCACAGTGTTTCTGTTCAAATAATCAAACAAGGAGCCTTGCTCATGATATTCAGAGACAAGCCAGAGCTGAGTCCAAGTTCCATTATCTACCAAGAGAAAAGAGAATTATACAGCTTTATAAAAAAAAAATTGGCCAAGAAAGAAAAATTCAACCACTTGGTACTTTCAGGTGATTTCAACTGTTTCAGAAGCACATTTAACTCTTGCCCTGCCACAGGTATGTTTTGAATACTACAACTCTAAAAAAAGACGTACACAAGCTAGAGAAGGTATCCAGAACATTACAAAGCACAGAAAAGACGAGCATCTCTATTGTTTATGGGGCATTTACTCAGAAAAAAGAGAGAGGAAAAACCCCTTTAGTGCATGCTTTCAAAGGCTGCCCATGAGAAGTAAACGTTGCACTGCAGCTTCTCAGCGAGCAACAACAGCAACAACTAACACAATGTAGAAAATTCAGCTTGTTAGTTCTGCAGAAGTAACAAGGTCTTCATCAAACTCACGGGTCTTCAAATAAGATATTTTGGCTTGATTTGCTTTTTACATGCCATATTTGAAAAGTTCCAGTAAAAAATTCTAGATAGCACAATTTTCCTTTCCTTGGTGTATTTTCTAATTCTTATCAAGAAAAAGATATTATATATTTAGATAAGCTGATCTATTTCTATAGCATTAGCTCTTTGTACATATAGATCGAAATATGCAAAATAAAAACATTTGTGCAGCTTGGATCAAGTTAATAATAGAAAAATAATACTTTCAGTTATATTTTACCAGTTGTTTCACATAAAAACATGTAAACATAGAACAACGGACTATCACATTTAGATCTTCACAAGGCAGCAAGACCAAGACGCCGCTCCAAACTCAAAGACAGACTCTCATGCACATGAAATCTTTGAACATACATCCACATGAAATTTATTGCTTTGGATTATCACTCGATACTTCTCAGTTGCCTTCTCCTTCCCAGATTCCGCTCACAGATAACTGATTTACTAACCTTAGGAACCGAATCATACAAGCACAGGGGTCTGCAAAACAGGGTCAGATTCTCAAGGAGGACAACAACTTCAGTAAACTGTCATACTAACAAACATTGGATGGATTAGCCTGTTCTGTTGGGGGGGGGGGGGGGGGCAAAAAAAACTCTATATAATATTAGTAATGCTGAGGAAAAGTGCTAAAAATGCTAAAAAAAAGAAAGAAAGAAAAAGAAAATAGAGAGAGATCTGGGAGTCTGCCAAATTTTTTTTGCAAACTAAGACATCCACCTCTTTGGCAAATCAACAAATGAGCCAGTCCACGATGGTCTGCCAGGTCTTCCAGATTCCCCCAACTGTAAGCAACTCACCTAGTGGAGCTCTTGGCTTCTCCCTATCTCCCACTTGCCCTGTATAATCCCTGGACTTCTAGGCTGTCCTCCCCCATTTGGCCTGAATTTCCCATTTCTCCAGTGCTCTCTTCTGGCCCTGGAATCCCTCTCCTGCAGAAATACTGTAGGACTGACAGCCTGGGCAGACTTACTAGTATTTTCCCAGATGGGAATAAACTCTTTGGAAAATTCTGGGGTTCAAAGCTTTATTCCAGTTTGGGGAGAAGGAAAGGAGGGAAACAAAACCAAGTCTCAGCAGACGGTCAGAATTTCCAACATGATGAGTATTCTGTTTCACAGCCAGCCTTAAATTGTGAAATCAAGTTAGGAAATACAATAATACCCTTGTTATCTGCAGCAATAAAACCCAGGATATTTTCATGTCTCAGCATAACCGTCTGATAAATTTCTGCCTCCCGAAACCAAGACCTTTCATCTCTTGAGGAGAAGATCTTCACAGCTACATCTTCTCCACACCACTTTCCACGCCAGACTTCACCAAATCGGCCTTTTCCTACTATTTCCTGAAGAACAATAGTCCTTGCAATTGTTCTTTGTACAAGTAGAGGTAAACCTAGTACAAAAAGAGAAGATGGATATTTGAGAAATAATTCATGGACAAATTTTAAATTCCGAAGTTAGAGATTTTCTAGTGAGCTGTAACTCATGATTTTGCTTTCAAAGAGTACCAAAGAAAAATTCTACCTCAACTAACATTTCCCATAAATCATATATTTCAATTATATTTTCCAGGTGAATGTACATCAGCTGCGTCACTAGAAAAGATGATCTCAGTCCTGAAGGAAGTTGTGTACAAGCCTTCCCTTCCACCAACATAGAATACATTGAAAGACAACAGTTTATCTGTTTTAGTTTAACTGCCGGTGCTTACCGGTTATAGATTATCATCTATTAATCTGCAAAAGGATGCCAGAAAACTCTCATTATGCTTAGGAAAGGAATTCAATAGATTGGTTCACGGTAGCAAATTAAGTACCCTTGTAAATGGGCAGAGGGGTTTTCAGGCCAAAAAAGGCCTGAAAAACTGACATGTACACTATGTTCTGCCTGGAAAATAAGTCCAGCTTAGCTATTATGTTTCACAGAGGAAAAAAACTATCTGTGATTGATGTGAAAAAGACTATGATAGACTGCAGTAATTGTGCATTGAACAAAAGCAGTTCAAACACAAAACATGAAACAGATATTCTCCCAGACACAGAGACCTCAGGCTATATTCTGCATACTCCCTGAATGTGAATATGCAGGTGCCAGAAATAAAGGTTTTACACTTTAAAGTTACAAAGAAGATCAGTTGGCAGGGCAACAGGCCCTGGTCTATAATTCCAGGCCATTCTGCCATAAAAATAACCTCATCCTGAACTGTATGTATAGTGCTGCTCAAATTTATTATAATTTAGTCAGATCACTATTACAACGTCAGCATATGGGCAGGGATAAAAACAAATTTTTGCAAAAAGTTTTTTTAAAAAAAAAAAAAGAAACATTGCTAAGTCTAGTATATTATTTATTGCAACATTTCTCAGAGATATTAAATGTAAAGGTGAACTGAATTTTCAGCGATTAAGCTTAAAGCATTTTCTTCTCAAAAAAAGGATTGCATACCCAGGTGCTAAGAAATACTAAGAACAATAATAATTAACATCTCCTTTACTTTAAAGGTACACACCCACGCTCTATCCCTGTGATAGCAGTCTTACCAAAGTCTAATTTATCCAGCAAAAGTTAAAGGCATCAGAATTAAATAACATACCTAACCTTAACTTGCTGACTTATGGGTATTCTTTTGAGTAGTCTTTAACTTTTACACAAACACAACCACATCTGTGATCACATTTTTCTACTGGACCATGCCTTAATCAGTACATGTCATGAATGGTATTCATTTACTGAACATCTGTCACATATTTGATTTTTTCCTAATTGTTTAACATGATGATACATGCCCAGTTTTCATAATCTTGCTCTACTATATTCTGAAACTTCCTTATGATCTGGCTTTTCTATAGTATTCACCAATTCAGCCCTAAGCATTTGCAAAAATTAATTCACAGCCTACTGCTGAGATGTTAAAATAGGGAAATGAAACAGAAATACAATCAAAATTATCTACCAACTTCAGGTGTCTAACTAGAGATGTCTAAGATCTAAGTTTTCAGAATTATTTTATTGTATTGTGCACTTTCAAAGCAAATCTCTTCTCAATTTGCAGCTGTGACTACATAGCATTTCTGCAAGCTGGAGATCAGGACTCACGTTCACAGATTTATGAATTACTGACTCCCTACAATGTAGGGACTTTATGACAAGGAGAACAGATTAAGGGCAGTCTCCAGTTCTTCAGGGCAGCAAAACACTTTAAAAAAGCATCCACCTTTCTCTTACCACAATGCCCTGGCCCATCCCATGCGCACCTTGTAACTCTGCAACAAGGAAAGGGGACTCCTACAGACAAAAGCCTCCTTCACTAATACCCTGATCCACCCCACAGCATGCCAGTCCCGAGCACTGCCCAAGGCAGAAATCCTAAAGAAAAGAGAAATACACGATGACATAAAGCTCAGACCATTACACATATGCAAGAGCAACCTCAATACTGCCGTTTCCTAATTTCTGAGTGATTGATTTTGAAATTTTAACTTCACAATTTCATCCAGCACAGGAAATTCCAGATCAAATGTTAAGCGAGGCTGGCAAAGTTCTGCAGAGGAGCACGTGAGGTCTCACTAGGGCACCTTAACAACAGGCAACACTACTAACTGTGCAATCATCTGTTCCTGTCAAATTTTAAACCACAGGATAATTCAGCTTAGAAGGAACCTTGGAGGAGCTTGGAGGAGGTCACGTCCAACCTCCTTCTCAAAGGAACGTCAGCTATGTGGTCAGGCATGGGCATAGACTCACTGAACAACTGACATTGGAAGGGACCTCTGGAGATAGCCCTAGTGCCATCCCCCCGCTCGAATCAGGGTCAGCTAGAGCAGGTGGCTCAGCGCTTTATGCAGTCTGGCCTTAAAAACCTCCAAGGATAGAGACTGCACAACCTCCCTGAGAAACCCGTTCCAATGCTTGACTGTCTTCACAGTCAAAGTGTCTTGCACGTGGTGTGAACCTCTCTGGTTTCAACTTACACCCATTATCTGTCAGTCTCCTGCCATGCACCACTGAAAAGCCTGGCTCTGTCTCCTCAATAACCTCCCTGCAGGTATGAGAAGGCTGTGTTAGGTGCACCGAAGCCATCTCCTCTCCAGGCTGAACAAGCCTGGTCCCCTCAGCCTGTCCTCGCAGGGCAAGCGCTCCAGCCCCCTGACCATCTTGTTGGCCCTCCACTGAACTTGCTCCAGTTTATCAGTATCTTTCTCAGATAGGGGGGTCCAAAATTGTCTGCAGTATTCTAAATGTGGTCTAATGAGTAGCGAGGATGGGGGTACAATCACTTCCCTTGATCTATTGAGTATGGTCCCAATCTACTGGCTGTGCTCCTGTTAATACAGGCCAGGATGCTAATACCTGGTGCTACTTCCTAGATTAAAAAAAAAAAAAAAAAAAAAAAACACATGAAATTCCTACAGTAGTTCCCTCATCCAGCCTCCCAGCGACAATAGCACAGGGCATCAGTAAGGCTAGAATCTTACAAAACCTCACCTCAAACTTTGACATTGTTTGGAGGTGGTATTAGGCAGACTTGCCTACAGATCAATACAGCAGATCAATATTGCCAGAGGGGATCAAGGAGGATCCCCAGTCTCAGAAACCCTGGTCTTCATTCCCCTGATCTGGATGCAACACAACCATAGATCCTCTTCCTTCTTTGGACACCCTGAGAGTCACTCCCTACCACTATCCACCAGGGTCCTGGCCTTTCTGCATCGCGACACCTCATTGCAACTCCACCCTTCTCGTGTGGGCAAAGCCAGCCTCCTCCTTTGGACTCCCGAACCAGGGACTGGAAATAAAGGACACTGGCAGTTGCCTCCTTCCTTCTGCCTTTCTCTGAATCCCTTCTTATTCTTTTCCCAACCCTCATAATCCTTACCTAGTCTTTGGATCCCTCCCAGCCTCCTGCTCTTCCATCTCCACTCACCACTTCCTCCTCACACCAAATCAGTCCATAGTTTCAGCCCTACGTCTTGGCTCTCTGACCAAGCCTACATCTCTCGGTCTTGAGGCTGCATCTGTTAGAAAGGGGAGCTCATTGAGCTCTAGCCCAGCTTAGCACTAGTGCCTAAAGTAGATGAAGCCTTCAGGCCGCAGGACTGAACTGTAAACGAGCTCAAGAGATATTGCTGAGGATGCGACTACAAAACCAGCTAGAACCAGCCCTCAAAGACACAGAACACAATGGAGAGAGGTAACGGTTAACCTTCGGATAAGATAAGGCACTATGAAGTGGGAACACAGCAACCGTTCCAGGATGTAGACGTGAACCAATCAAAAGGAAAGAGACCACCAAATCAGCAAAGACGACTGGAAGAGACTGTCACTAGCAGGTGGGGAAACTTGACTGTAAGGAGTATAATTACACCAACATTTCTTTGTTCGGAGTCCCTCCCCGGAGGCACCCAGCTCGAGCTGTTACTTTGCTGTACCGTCATTTAAATAAATAGTTAAATTCACTGCTAGACGTACGTGAGACACTGCTCCTCAGAAACCTAGGCTTGAACTCTTTCCATAACACAATCATGCCTCAAACAGAGCAAAATCATCAGCAACAAAACTGTAGTTTGAAGGTCAGCTTCAAACATACTGCTATATTTAAATTTTCTCTCTGGCTTCCTTGATAGAGCCCTCATATCCTGTATCTGTTACTGTCTTTATATAGTCTTATTCTAGCTACCTATTGCCAGCTTTGGATAGTCGCCTCTAGATAGTGAAAATCAAACCCACTATTTGACTGAAATCAGAATAAAATGCTCCAGTGCGTGTTGAGGGTTCGTCTGCCTCCATTACGTGCTAGCACAAACACAGCCCTATTGTTAGGTAGCGACGTCTACGAACAGTTAAGCCTTCAGGGTCACTAAACCCTCAGTTTATTCGTTATATCGATGAAGAAATATCAGGGAAGTACAGTAAATTAATCCTGAAAGGTATGCAGTTCACAGAAAATACAGTAAATTAAGCACCATTTATAGATATTTTTTTCACCCCTACATAAAATTAAGCTTGCTTTACATATTTTTCAGATACATAAAAATTCTAGCTATAGAAAATTGGACCATACACAGCAGAGGTGCCTCCAACCTGATGAACTAGGATTTTAGAATTCCTATTTCATTTTTGCATTTCTTTGATTTAACAACTTTTCGATCGCAACACAAGCATCATAGCAGATAGGATATTAGAAACAGGGAAAAATGTTAAAAAGAAAAATCTTGACCTACTCAAAACAAGAATTTGGAGCAATGTTTTAGCACCACCAAAAAAACTGCAGGAGCAGCATTCTGACTCATTCACTTAAATTTAGTATATTTTATTATCAACTATGAGGTATTAGGCAGTAATGTTTCATTTTCTACTTAAAGCAAACTTCTGAAGCAACTTTTTTTAACCTTTTCCATCTGAACTAAGAGGTATCAAAACTGACATTTTCATTAAACTGTTATTATTTGACAGAAAGGAATAATAAACAAAATCTTTTTGCCTCAGAAGTGTATTGCCAAGCCTACCAGTTACTGCGTTAGTACAAAACCTCCTTTGACATAAAACTCATCACAGGTTTAAGAGTCTGTTAAGATAAACGCCCAAACACCGGTCTTGAGGCCACAAGTTTCAGGGAGCTGCAGTGGCTGCGCTTGAAATATATTTTTCATCTCTCTGTGAGTAAGATAGTGTATTTGTACTTGGTTTAAGCGTCAAGAAAATTTGTACAAAAAACTGGGACTGTGCTCAGCAAGACATACGTACCAGATCCAGACCCAGATGTCGTCATATCATAAATAAGATCTTTAAGGGTTTTCCCAGAGTTCACTAGATTGCATTCAGATAGAGGTTCTTCAATGTTTGGCTGCTTCTTCTGTCTGTATGCACAGTGACGGTTTTGACAGCTGCATATAGTCAGCATTACAACAAGAGACAAGATGCAGACTGGTACAGTAACCATCACTGCCAGTACCACAGGTCCTACGTTTGGTCTGCTTGGAGATTCTGAAGCTTTAGGAAGGCAGAGGGGTAAGTGAGGTAGAGGAAAAAAAAAAAAAGACTGTAAGTTAAAAGCTATTCAGCAGATGACATATTAAGATTTAATTATTTACAGTCTCACTTTTCAGACACTAACGCTGACAATAGGCTGTCTAAATCTAATGTGATTTATTTAACTACAAGACAGTGGAGCAGAGCTCCTGCTATGGCTAAAGTTGAGTTGCTATGTTTTTAAAAGACTGTTTCAGTATTCCAAACCAACACATTCAAAACTGGCTGTGATTTAAGGTATATCCTGATTTTGACAGGAAGGGTTGAAGGAAGTGGGAATAAGCGACTTTACCACTCTATACAGGTCAAGGAAGGAGAAAAGCAATACTAATACGCTTTGTACAGCAAAGAGACCTCAATGAGATGCTCTGGATTGCCAGCATCTTCCTGACCTAGGACTGGAAAGATAGATTTTTTTCTTTTCTTTTGCATATAATGTGGGCTGTACTGTACAATACTTTCACCTTCCCCCATAGGATATTGTCCAGTTGTATTTTCATTTATCCATTACTAAACCCACATGGATGTCTCACAGCATAACAAATCATAACTATCATTGTCTTCAGCTAATCTCTCCACGTTTCTCACAGTAACGTTTAAAGACAAACACACACAGCTGAAGAACATTTTCTTGCAATTGTAGTTCCAAAAATGTAGAATACCACCTATGGAATGTGTATTTTAAATCTATTCACATTGGCAACATACTATTTCTCTGCAGTTCCCTGATCTCTTACCTCCTCATTCAAGAAGATCACAAGATATCACCAGCAAGATCGCTGCTGGAGTGAGACTGAAGCGTAGACTGCTGCACAAGGCTATACCAATGCATTAAGCATCCTGAGAGTCAACAGCATGCATTTCACAAACAGTAACATGTATGGCAACTCCACACACAAGCAAACTGAATTCAATGATACATACCTCACGTGCTTTAGAACGGTGGGTACAGTGCCCTTTCCACACTTAGTCTGGGTATAAATTTCTCAGCAAACTCTTACTATTCCAGCTGAAAACAAAACCTTGAAAAAAAACTCATTCCCTAACACTTCATGCCTAAGGAAATACAAAAGTTCTAGTAAATGAGACATTATAAGGATTTATAAGACTTAAAACACTATCAAAACTCGTGTTCATGAAGCTCTATTTTACAAGTATTAAGAAAGGAGACTGTCCTGTATCATTTTCCATTTTAAAGCTATAGGGAAAAAAAAAACATATCAAGAGTTTATAGGAATGTACTATTAAGCTATTCACTTGCACATGTGTATGCATGCACATGCACAAATATCTTAATAGCAAAAAAATTGCCAGCTCTCTCAAAGCACACCGAATAACAAGTTCCAAACCGTGGATCTAAAGACTAGGAAAGATTTAAGAATCTTAAGGGCTTGCTAGTGACATGATTCCACACCACATAAAGTCAACTCTCTAGTAGTTTTAGAGAACAAAGAGCACCTCTCCATTTAGGAAAATGCTAAGCAATATGTACATTGTAATGTGGATTTGGGGGGGTAACTGAGGCTCTAAGTCTCTGGAATCTTAGCAGAGGAAACCTGATTAGTTCATTGGCTCTTGTTTTCCTCTAGTTAATATTACAAAAGAAGCATTTTTTAAAAGGACATTTTCAAGTCACGTACTCCATGATTTAAAAGTGCCAGGAACAGTAGTTAGCTGAGCAAAGTTAATTAAAAAAAAAAAAAGCACTATGCACTTTGAGAAAAGAAAATAAAGCGTTAACAACTGATTGTTCTCTGTTTATTCACAGCATACAATTCAAATCATTCTGGAAACAAAGTTATTGCATCTTCCCCATGGGGTTTTCCTTCAGTGGTCTTAATTAGGACAGTCAAGGGGTTATCTGCTAGATTTGTAAGAGGATTTGCAAGCAAGACTCCTCATTGTAACTATTTCTTGCCAACTGGTAAACTGTGATTTCCTAAGCTGTTTTTAATTATGAGTCAATGTTTCCACATGGCAGGGATTTCCTCTGAAATACTATGAAGTGCAACAAGCAAGCACGCCGTATCACATGAACTTTAGTGCTGTTGCTGGGCTCTATAAATTGTGGAACTGATCCTGCTGCACAGAACCAGATGGCTAAGAGAAGGTGTTTATAGCTCTTAAAGGTTGGCTTTCTATATGCTGAATGCCATGAAGAAGAATATCCATGTATGGAAGGGTACATAAGTATGATAAGTTTGGGGGGGAGGGGGAAAGGAGGGGTGAGCGGGAGTCACATGCATTACTTGGGTGCTTTGCATGCATTTATTCATTTTAAGCAAGATTTTCAGTGCATTGCCCAAATCAATGTCCAGGCATGCAGATCTAAGTGGATTCATTGTCTGCATGCAAGGGTTGTGAAAGACAAATACGTACAAGATCCTTACTTCATAATTATCAATTCTTTCCACCAAATGCTGAAAAATAATGTGATATGAAAGGAGCAAAATATAGAACTGTATTGGTTCTAGTGCAAACAGTATCAAAAGGAAAGTATCCTGGAAGTTTTGAACAGCAACAACCATGCCAGGAGAAAGATTCAGAGGGTGGTCTTTCCAATTTGGGATCTTTGAAGACTGGCATACAAAATTCCAACTCAGTACTCACAAAATGAAGCAGCTTGGTTCTCAGATGGAGCAATTTTCCCTGCCTGCAAGAAGCAGTGACAAGCAGTCTGACTGGAAAACACTTGCTCTTGGTAGCAAGTGTTCTTAAGCACCTGTAGATTTCGTGCATGCTGCACTTGCATGCCAATAGGTAGTTAGAGAGCAAGCAATACTTCTGATGGGACATACTGTTCAACTGTGTCTCCTGCCTCTGTCTGTGAGCTTCCATTATATGCCCAAATCTATTTCTGCTGGTCAGTCATTTTATTTCATCATCACACGATCCTCTGCCAGTTCACATCAATCCCTTCTCCTACCGTAACTTCATTACTGCAATGCATCCCCCTCCTTGTCATTTCAACTCTTTGCTTTTCTTTCTTCTTTTTTTCACAATACCCTCCATTCTAGAGCACCATTCTTTTCAGAAGCAAACTTCCTAAAAATCTCTGCGATTGTTCTCTTTTTCTTTACTTTCAACCCTGTTTTCTTGAGAGTTTGGATGTTACAGGTGGCAAACCTGTACAGGCAAGAAAAAAAGCAATAATTGTTGTTACCTGTTCAGATTTGGTGGTCACAAATACAAAGTTGGCTTTCTTTTTATTTTACAGTTATATACATTAGCTTTTTATATATACCTATATATAAAACTAAGTTCTCTAGGGCACAATACATCAATTCACTTAGCCTTCCGTAGCCGTTCTTAAAACAGTTGCATGTTGACTTGCTGCTATAACATTTCACTCTGCTTTTAGAGAGACTGTATAGATAGACCATGCTTTCAGATATGCAGCTAACAGAATAAATGGGTCGTAACAAGGAGTGCAAGGTATTGAGGCATAGAGCAAGATGAGTGGAATGTGCATTTCTAGAAGCACTTTTATTACTGGACTCACATGATGAGCCTAAAAGAAAGTATCCATTTTGGAAGGTTTTTTAATATTGTAAACAATTTGGTGCAGTAGTATGACTTCAATTCCACGTCACGTATTCTGCCAGTCAAGGTTTGGTTCATAGATATGCAAATAGAATGAAATGAGACAACAAGGAGGTTTAGGTAGCAGGAGGAGTGTGACAATATTTACGGATTTGAAACGCACAGTTTGTACATTGTAAACTGCTGAAACAAGTTTTATAGCAAAATTTTAAGACCGAGTATTTTTTATGAGTGCCTTTTAAAAAAGGCAACAAAATCATTGCTACTAGGGAAAAAAAGCCTCAAATTTTAATAGAAAAGTGATCTGATACATTTTTACTGAAAATTTATACTGACACAATTTGTATTGTTAAAGAACTGCAGTGCAGGCTTTATGATGGAACTATATAACCAGAACTCAATTTTTAGAGATATTTTCTTTTGAGCATAGCATTTTGGGAGCCAAGCAAGCTGTGGCACAGGCTAGAGAAACCGATGAATCCACGAGGGATATAGTGAGTGCAGCTGGCCAGCAAGACAATTTTCACTTTCTTAGGCATGAAGCAGAAGAACACATGGCTCAGTCAGGATACAGAGGGGATACAGAGGCAAAGAAACTCACTGACCATTCTGAGCATTCAGGATAAGGCTTCAGAGTGAAGCAGCAGCAAACTTCAGTGAACACTCGCTCACATCCACTCAAAAGCGTGACATTTAGCATCAAGAACACAAACAGACGCCAATTTTATAATTTATGTAGTTATAGTTGTTTAGAAGAAAATCAAGTTCAGTGATGCTTACAGATCTCCTTTCAGATACTGCTACAAGTTGAAAGAGCTCGAGGGCAGAAGGCAAGTTAGCAATGAGTTTGGAAGCTGAGGAATACAGGTCACTTTGCATGGAGTCTCCATCAGGTGCCTGGGAGATGAAGAGACTCTGACTGTCTAGTGAAGTTGCTTAGAAGTCAACTGGGGACTGCGTTCGGCATCCACCAGTCTACTGGCTGTATCAAAGTGTAGATCCAGGCTGACGCCAACTACTGAAACTCTCTCCAGTTCTTCATAGAACATATATGGGAGACTTGAGAATTACCAGGGTTGTGAATTCTGCTTTACAGTTGCTTGTAGGCCATCTTCAAATCCTGACCGTTTACGGCATATAGCATTGTGTTCTGCAGCCAGCACCACAGCCATGCCCTTCAATATCCTGTCACTCCTGCGCTTGCACACCATGATTCCTTGGGACTTCTCACAGTAACAACCACACAGAGAGGAAGTGACAAATAGCACAAGCGCAAAATACACGAGACAGGAAGTACAAATAGCAATTACAGACAAAATCACTAAGTGTGGTAACGTTTAAAGCAATTGTGCAATGTTAAACACTTTAGGAAATAAGAAACTCTCTCCTGACTACCTAAAACTATTAAATCAACAACATTAATCATAACATTTTGCAATCTTATTTAGAGTGCACTGTTCAATGCCTTGCTGATCAAAAATAGAAGCTGGTGTTGCCATGTATGAAACAAAAATATCACATCTGGCAATATCTAGCAATTTCACAATATGTCATAGTCGTATTCCAAGTTTTGTAAACAAGACAGTACCTTTAGGCTGCAAAAAAGAAAGGATTTGGGTTTTTTTGCCTCCAATGGAAAAGATATTATTCTCACACATAGTGTTTGCCTTGCTTTTTATATTTAATGGCTACCTTAAGACTTTTAGATGCTCTAACATATGCATGTTTAAGTTCATAAGCTACTCAGGGGGAAACAATTATGTATTCTTTCCAATATATTAAGAAAATATATTGCATCCAAATGCAAGGCTCTAATAAGATGCACAAAATAAATTTTAAACAATTTTAAAAACATGCTATTGGGACCAGAGACTAAAATTGTCTTTCTCCAGTCTCCACCATGACTATAGAACCCATCATCCCTTTCTGAACATTCAGAAATAAATTAGGAAAGGCATGCTTTAGGATTGAGAAATTTAAGTAAATCAGTCAGAGATACAACAAGTCAAACAGATGCCTCAACTGAATTGCTGGATTAGCTATTTCCCCTTGTCATCCCAATCTCTACCTCCTCTTTCAAGGGCTATATTCTTACAAATCCCTCCAGAGAACATGAATCTGGGTCAGCCAAAACGTACAATAAATATGTGAAATATTTATAGACCAAGATATCCATAGACTAGCTACGATGGGTTGGAGCATTGCCTACAGGAATTTTTCAAGGAGAAGTTGAGCAGGTCAGGCCAATTTTTGGATTATCGTAAGAATTGGATCAACAGTACAGCACCGAACTGCACCAACGTGACGATTCAACAGATTTACTGCATCCGAGGGAGTTATTCTAATTTCTGAGCAGTTCTGCACCACTATAAGCCATGTTGACAATCCATATTTTGGGTCAAGAATAGCTAACCACCGAACTTGCAGGATAAGAATGTTTACGATTTACAGGCTAGTTTCTTCCGGACAGCTATTAACAGATTGAAGCATTTTTCCCTACTCTGACCTAAATCAGTTCCAGGGATCACATATTCTCCCGAACTTCCTTATCACGCTTCTTAACCACTAGATCAGACAAAGCTTTTCACTAGAAGCTTTTATTCCTCATTCTTTTTTCAGTCCCGATTTCCATCCAAGGCTGTTCATGCCACAGCAGATAAGCTCACCTTTTTCATTAAAAAACAAAACAGAAAACAATCAACTAAATGAAGTTTCTGCTACTACTTTTCAGCAGAGTAATAATACAAGCTGCTAACACTGGCAGCTGACCCCTAGCAGAGGTTTTCAAACACCGTTACTAAAGAGAAAACAAAGTGGTCACACAGATAAAAGAGAGAAAAAATACATGGATATAGTTCCCTTCCTCTTCTTTTTTTGTCCATTCCTCATCTTCCCTCTACACTATTCTTGGACCAAGTTAGCGCAAAGAAAACAAAATAAACCGTTTCATCCTGTTCAGTAACAGATGATGAACACCAAGAATAAAGGAAAGGGAAAGTCAGATACTTGTCTTCCAGCAGAGCCTGCCCTTCAGGACTTGGGGGGAAGTTTAAGATCCATATTAAGGCAATGGTTTTTACTGTAACTGGGGAATTTATTTTTATATTTTAATTGGGAAAATATTTGTTGTTGCCTTTTCCTACAACATTCAAACAACTGAAGAGATTTCCCTTACAGTTTTTGCATTAAAACATTGGATTTTATTCTGAAACCTACAGGTTAAAGGCTGGTTTTTCTCATTTTTTAGATTAACATGTACCTTGCATAACTTTTGGCACAATATTATCTGATTTCTTTAGTACTAATAGATCTACGCATTCCATATGGTTGCCTAAAAAGGCCTTAATGTCTTTGGACATTTTCAAACACATAGGTAAATGGAGCAAAGAATAAGTATTTGTTCATGCAAAATATACAGCTTATATTAAAAAACAACAGAACATGAGACTATTGCCTGGCACTTATTTTAATTAGTATAAATCATCTCTCTTGGCTATATGAATATACTCACGGGATTTTTGCTTTGGAAATTCTATTATATTCCATTTTCTTTTGTCCCACTGGGTGCTAGCACAGGTGTTATGAGTGCCAATTTGAGCCTTTGCGGAATTCAGGCAATAGGACTAAAGAGGAGAGCTAGCAAACTACTCATTATAAAGTCTGCTAATCCACTGTTACTTTATTTTGTTCCATAAAGCCTCCTTATTCCTCTAATTCATTTTTCATTATACAGGTACAGAACTGAAATTGCAGTTTTTATCTCAAGCTCTAGAGATGCTGCCCCTTCAGGACACCCACAACCAAATACAAAAGAGATCCTTCTGTATGTTGCCTTCTACTGGAATCACAGAGGTACATTTGGGGCGGGAGGGGAGAACTTTTAGAAGTAAAGCTTTTACAGAGAATTTTTTGCTATGCTAAAGTTTTCTGTTTCCCACCAACTCAGATGTGTAGGTGTACACACCAAATACCTCCCCTGTTTTTTGCCCGCAGAGACCGAGATTTTCTTTGGCCAATCAATTGAAAAAAGGCAGGCCAGAATTCTAAGACAAATTTGCAAACTTATCTGCAGCCATCCTGTATATTTAGTATCTGTAAAACAGAAACGTCAAATTTAGCTTCATTAAGTCTTTTGAGATCAAGAGGTCAGAATTACAACACTATGAATTTTCCCCATGTTAGCTATAAACATGCTGCCCTAGCACTTTCTCCTTATTGTGGCAACCCAACTTCTTCCTGACTGGCAGTTTCTGTTTCATTCCATGGTCTTCAAAAGCCTCAGTACTTTTTCTTTTGCTTCTGCTGTTCCGATAACAGTTGACATAGATAATGAGGCAGACACCTATCTTACCTCCTATGAACAGTACAAGAACCTTGTTTTTCTTTCTGTGCTACTATTTTGGCTGATGGCATGAAGCCAAAGCCAAAACTTCATCATTGTTCCCTTAAGAATCTTCTTTTTTCTCCCCTAGTTGGATCATTGACAATGTCAGTTTTAAATAGGGATGTTTACCATCATATTAGTAGTCCCAGGACAGCTTCTCCTTCATTTCATCAAGGACCTTAGCAGTATAATGACTGCC